AGAGAGAGAGAGAGAGAGAGAGAGGGAGGGAGGGAGGGAGGGAGGGAGGGAGAGAGAGAGGGAGGGAGGGTAGGAAGGAGAGGAAATGTGGAAAAACACCTACCCTCCAAAGACCTGGAGCGTTAGGACATCTTGCAGGCTGGCTGAGTTTGTGCTGGCAGCCTTCTTTCTGTCCCCTCATCAACCTCTGGGAAGAATTAACAGACCATCCCTTTATGGGGAGACGGAGGCTGGGAAGGTTAAGGCACCCCTCAGGGCCCCATAGCTTGGAAATGGCACAGCTCCTTATTTTCCCCACTCTACCTGACACGCCCCCCCGTACATGCCCCGCCCCCTGTCTCTGCAGGCCGGGTCACCCCAGCTCAGGAAATTTTCAGGCCTCTTCCGGCAGCACCTCTTGCAACATTTAATGTTGGCATGGCTCCTCTGACATCCCCTCCTGTCTTCTGTTCTGCTCCCTCCTTCCCCGGCTCCTCTGGGGCCTCCTCTTCCCCAGTTCTTTCTTTCTTTAGCAGGATTGACTGCCTCAGACTTGCTGCGGTCCGCCATAACTGCCTCCTCCTCACCCCACCCCCTAGTCCTGTAGCCATCAATCAGATAGGGTCCATTCTGCCTCCCAAGTATCTCTGGAATCCAACCCCTGCCCCTTCCTCATTCCTCATGCTGTGAGCCTCATCTGGTGTCACCCCTGCCCTTTGCTCTTTTGCATTCTACAGCCTCCTCCTCCCTCCTCTTCATCATCTTCCTCCTCCTCCTCCTCCTCTCTCCACCCCTACCCCACATTGGAAAGCATAGAGAAAAATTTAATCTTTCAAGGACTCAACACACAGCTTTGTATAATCTTAACTTTTTTCTTCATTTTTTTTTTCTAAATAAAACACTACTAGTAATTTAAACCCCTCATATGTCCTTCCAAATTTCAATCTTTCTCTGCTCTCTTCAGGGGTCACCAGTGTCATAGTTTTTAAATTTCTTATTTTCATGAATGTTTATATTTTGTGACTATCAGCTGTCCATAATCTATGCATTGTATTATACACATGCTTCTATGGCTTGGCTTTTTTTTTTCCGATTAATGATTGTTTTCATTTTTAAACTCTTGTTTTTCACATTATTTTTTATTTTGTGTATATGAATGTTTTGGCCTGCGTGTATGTTTGTGCACCACATGCATTCCTGGTGCCCTCTGAGGTCAGAAGAGGACACTGGAGGCCCTGGAACTGGAGTTAGGATGGTTGTGAGTCACCATGCGGGTGCTGGGACTAGAAGCCAGATCTCTGCAGGAGCAGCTAGTACTCTGAGTCATCTGTCCAGCAACGTAATTTCTTAAAATAGTGTTTTTAACTGATACATGATAATTGTACACATTGGTGGGATATACTGAGATGTGTGTGTGTGTTTGTGTTTGTGGGTGTGCACTTCATTGTGATCACATTGGGGTAACTGACATATCCATCACCTCAAACATCTATGATTTCCTTTTTGTTGTGGATATTCAGATCCTCTGTACTATTTTGAAATATACAGTTCATTATTGTCAATCACAGTTATCCTACCATAGAATTAAAAATTCTTCTTTTCTTCCAACTGCCCATAACCAGTCGGTGATACTTCAAGGAACTTTTGGTTAATGGAAAATCTCAAACAGACAAAAGTAGAGTCATGCATTCTAGAGAACACCCGTCACTCATCACCTAGCTCCAGCAAAGGCCACCTGTATGACCCATGCCTTCCTACCGCCATCATTTGGCAGTAGGATGCTATTTCTTCAGCCATAAGTATTTCAGCATATATCTCTAAAAATGAGAGCTTTAAAAAAAAAACATAGCGCCGGGCGGTGGTGGCGCACGCCTTTAATCCCAGCACTCGGGAGGCAGAGCCAGGTGGATCTCTGTGAGTTCGAGGCCAGCCTGGGCTACCAAGTGAGTTCCAGGAGAGGCACAAAGCCCACACCCTAGCCTCAAAGACAAACAAACAGAGCCAGGCATGGTAGTACATGCTCTTAATTCCAACACTGGGGAGACAGAGGCAGGGGGATGTCTGGGAGTTTGAATCTAGCCTGGTCTACATAGCAAACTCAAAGTCAGCCCAGGCTACATAGTAAGACTGTCTCAAAAAGGGGCTGGAGAGATGGGTCAGCAGTTAAGAGCCTTGGCTGCTCTTCTAGAGGACATGGGTTTGATTCCCAGCACCCATTTGGTGACTCATAACAGTCTGTAACCAGGGGGTCTTATGGCTCTCTTCTGGCTGCCTTAGATACTACATGAATTTGGTGCGTAGACAGACACACATGCAGGCAAAACACTCATACACATAAAATGAAAATAAAAATTTAAAAATACACCAAAAACATCATAACCACAATGCCATTGTCAAACCAGTTATGTTATTCTTTTTTTGTTTTGTTTTGTTTTGTTTTGAGACAGGGTTTCTCTTTGTAGCTTTGGAGCCTGTCCTGGAACTCGCTCTGTAGCCCAGGCTGGCCTCGCACTCTCAGAGATCCGCCTGCCTCTGCCTCCCGAGTGCTGGGATTAAAGGCATGTACCACCACCACCCAGCTTATGTTATTCTTAGGCTTATGTTATTCTTAGGCTTATATTATTCTTTAGTAGCAAATATATAGCTAGTTGATATTTTAAAGTGTCCCCAATTGTTGCAATAAGGCTCTATGTGCATTTGTTTTGTTTTTTTAATTTATTTTTGAGATTATAATATAATTGCATTATTTCCCTTTTCCCTTTCATTCTTCCAAACCCTCCCACATTCCCCTCCTTGCTCTCTTTCAAATTTACGACCTCTTCTTTCCTTAATTGTTATTACACACACACACACACACACACACACACACACACACACATGAATATATACATATTCAGTTCTGCTCAGTCTATATAATGCTACTTGTATGTGTGTGTCTCAGGGCTCACCATTGGTACTGGATAACCAGCTGGTGTGCTCATCGCCGGGGAGACTATTCCCCCCCCCTACCTCAGCAGTCCTTAGCTGTTCTTGTGTGGAGTTGAGGCCTCGTGCGTGGACTTTCCTCATCAACTTTGTCGCATCTATAATTGTCCTGTTGCACTTGATTTGTTTTCATCAAGGTGCAAACTAGTTTTCCCACACCACTTCTTACATTTCTCAAGCATTATGGACATCATACTAAGCAAAATAAGACCAGACTCAAAAGAGAGCACATCTGTGGTTCTAGTGATAAGTTTGAAACCAGGTAAAATTAGTCTTTGCTGATAAAAATTATAATATTCGTTTTCTCGGTGGTTGTGGACAGATACTGACTGAGGGGGTATAAAGCTATTTTAAAATTTAGTACATAAAGCAGGGGTTCTCAACCTCCCTAATGCTACGACCCTTTAACACAGTTCTTCATGCTGTGGTGACCCCCAACCATAAAATTATTTCGTTGCTACTTCATAACTGTAGTTTTGCTACTGTTATCAATCATAATGTAAATATCTGATATGCAGGATATCTGATATGCAACCCCTGTGAAAGGGTCATTCAGTTCCCAAGGGGCTGCAACCCGCAGGCTGAGTGTCTCTGGCAGTAGGGGCTGGACTTTGTAAAGAATGTCTTTGGCTCCTTGAGTCCAGTAGTTCTAGAAAGATGCTTGTTATCTCTTTTCCTTCTGAGTCAGTGTCTCGCTGTCTTACTCCAGGGTAGCCTCAAATTCAAGATCTTCCCCCCTCTCTCTCCTGTTTGGGACTGGCATGCTCACATCAAACTCTTGATTCTTTACAGTGTTCAGAATAGCAAATTAAAGCGTCAGCAGCCTCCAAAAATGACCCTCGAGTGTTTCAGTCTTTTGTATTTATTCTCACTGACGTTCTTTCCCGGCTGTTCCCACCTCCTCCAACACTGCCTGGAGTGGTCTTTCCCCAGAAGAACATTTGGGAAAAACACCAGCCTGACAGTTCCTGGACACCAGTCTGCCACAACTGTCATAATACGGAGACGTGCTCAGAGAGTCCCTGAGCAGGCACACTGTGATGGTCCCCGGGGAGGCGCATTGGTGTCACGGAGCTGGAGGTGACATCGCCCTCTGTAGAGATGTCGCTGGGCAAACTCTCTGCTTCTGGACCCTGCTGGAGCAGGTGGTCTGGATCCTGCAAACCCCCTGACCCACTGACTTAACCCTCTCCAGCCCCACTTCTGATGCAGGCGATGAACAAAGGCTGAAGAGTGCCCTGTACGGAGTTAGTGCCTGGGCCCTATACAGCCCCGCCCTTCAGTCCTGAAGACGGTTTATCGCTGTGTTGTAACTGACTGACTAGTGGTCTGTCTGTCCTCTCTGTGCCCAGCCACCCTCAAGGCTATAAAGTTCAAAAGAACAGGGTCTGGCTTTCTTATCTCCTGCTCTGACAGTAGCATTTTAGCACTGCTCTGTCTGGTCTAAGTGAGTGGCTCTTGGAACATTCTCGTTGAATAGGATCATTGTTGCCTTAAGAGATAAGGTGCTTTCCAGAGCAATTCTCAAGCCTAGTTGGGCCTGGACTTACCTAGAGATAGTCTGCAAAATTCTAATCTACCATAGACATGCTACTAATCTGAATCTCTGAGGTTGGCACTGGGCGGCTATTTTTTCTAAGGGTCCCTAGATGATTCTAATATGCATTTGGCATTAGGAACTTCAGGTCCAGGTGAACAACACTCCAACATATGGGGCATAGCCCATATAAACGCAGGAGAACCCAATATTCTCATAATACTTGGTTATGGTTACGGCTTGCCTGCCCTGGTGTCCAGGTGTCCAGGTCAGAGGTGGTGGGCTGATATGGTTGTTTCGGGCCCTCGAGAGCCAGAGCTATACAGTGACCCGAGGCCATTGGCCCCTCAGTTTGAAGAGATCCATGAGGTGATCGCCCGGTACAAGACGCTGGTGAGCATGCATCATGACCTCATGCAGTCGGCACAAGAAGGCCAGGAGAAGATTGAGCGGGCCAAGGCACGGCTGGCCCGCTACATGGAGGAGAAGGACGATGAGATCCTCCAGCACAACAATGAGCTGGCAAGACTGCAGATGCGCTTCGACCGGGCCCGCAGCGACGTCATCTTCTGGGTAAGCAGCAGGTCCAGGGTAGGGCTTGGGGGGGCGGGGGTCCTGGCTCTGGGTACATGAGGTCTGTATGTGTGCACAAGTGCAGACAGATGCCACATACATACACACACACGGTGGGGGGGAGAGAGAGAGAGAGAGAGAGAGAGAGAGAGAGAGAGAGAGAGGTGATTCTCTCTTTACTGTGCTGTGCTTATATACTGCCATATCTCTTCCCCAGGAATCTCGCTGGGCACACATCCAGAACACAGCAGCCAAGAAGACCCTCCTGCTTGGCACCATCAAGATGGCGACACTGAACCTCTTCCAGATCGTGAGCAAGCAGCTGAAGGAGACCACGCAGGTGTCCCTGGAGGACACACACAAACAACTGGACATGGTAGGAGGAGGCTGCAGAGCTGGGTCCAGCAGGGTGGCAGGGTCAAGGAGGTTCTGAATTGGCCGAGTGAAGGCCTGAACCCGGCAGAGTTGTGGCCTTCAAATGTTCACAGTGTCGGGACCACGTACTGGTGGAATTGGGAGATTGCTGGGCACACCCAAAGTCTCCAGCTCAGTAAACCTAAGATGAGCACTCATGAATGTGCATATTTAGTAACTCCCCAAGTGATACTGCTGGCCAGGGTGCCACACACTGAGACCCACTGCATTAGCACCCGAAACCCTTGTCGGCTTCAGAGCACAGGGCCAGAGCAGGGACCCACTGTTGAACTCCTTGGTTATACAGAACAGTCTTGTTGGCCGTGTATGCTAACAGCTTCAGGCAGAGTCTCAGGTGGGCTCGAGGTGTCACTGTCGGGGCTGCTCCGTTGTGGGAGGGAGGCTGGGCGAGACTGAGCCTGGCTGCTGCCACCTTCCTTCTTCACTTGTGCATAGGTCCGGAGCAAAGCCGGGCACCTTCCTAGAAAGCTGATCGCACAGCCTTCGGTTTATGTTCAGAAATAGTTCTCATCCTCGGGTTTCCAGGGAAACCTGTGGCTAGGGCTCAGCACTTGGATCCCCAGGCTTGCATAGCACGCACTTTACCAAAAGAGCCATCCCCAGCCTCTGAAATAGCATGGTCGATTAAAATCTCAAAAAACTCCTTCTGTGAGGAGAGTAGCATTGTTGGAGACTTTGGCGAAGCCCTTTAACGTCTGGCTCGGTAATGGGTAGACTGTGCTGCTCATTCCTGTTGCTCATTCTGTTCTGACAGGACAGCCAGGGAACCCCGCTCTGGAAGATGGCGCTCTGTGCTTGGGAGGGAATACATGAGAAGAGACATAAATGCCGTCTTGGGGTTATGGGACCCTGGTTTCCGAGATCCCCGGTGTGCTCAGCTCTCTTCCTTTAGCTGTCGTGGGGAAGGATGCCCTGGGAATTGGTGACCTGCCACTCTCTGCCCCAACCTGTGCCTTCCCTACTCGGGCCCGGGCTTCTAATCTGTCTCCTCCAAATTCTGAGCTTTCTGAATCCTTAAGGATTTTCACAAGTTTTATTTTTTTCTGAATCAAACTTCCCGAAGCGCTCCTGGCAAGGAAAATCTGGGCTTGATTTTCCTTGCCAGGAGCACTTCATGTTGCCCAAAGGATATCCTAAGATATCCATCTTCATTCCCGCAGAATATAAGTGCATTGTCATAAAGTCAAGTGGCCAAGCAGCTAATATAAATTAATAATAATAATAATAATAATAATAATAATAGTGACATGAGCAAGTCTAAGGAAAAGGGGAGGTTGAACCCACACACATTCTGCCCCTGAGCTGGAGTCACCTTTCAAAAATGAGAAACTGGCTGGGCTGGGTGCACAGCTCAGTGCTACAGCCTGTGCCCAGCATGCGTGAGGCCCTGGCTTCTGTCCCCGGAATCGGATGTTTCTTCAGAGCTGTTGTGTGTGGAGCCCAGCTGCGTCTCCTTAGCCTCTGAATCTATGCCATGTCACTCTGACCACAGGCTTTTAAACCAGAAGCCTGTGAGTAGAATTTAAATTTCCCCTGAGGACACAAGATCATTGCAGTGAACACCAGGTCTGGGTTCCCTCAAGCGCTTTGATGTTACCTGAGGACCATTTACAGTTCTGTCTGCAAGATGCCTTACTCTGATGTCCTTTGTGACCCGCTTCCTTCCTTCCTTCTGCGCGGGTCTGACTCCCTCTAAGCAGGCCCCAACTCCAACCCTCCTCTGGTTCTAGTTTGCTGTTATGGTTTGAACCTGAAATGTCCCCCCAGAGGCTTGTGTTCTAAGTGCTTGTGGCGCTGGTTTGGGAGGGTGAGGCCTTTGCCAGCAGAGCCTGCCTGGCGGAAGTGGGGTACGAGGTGCAGGCCTTTGAAGGTGACAGCTGATCCACTGTCACACTCTCTGCTTCGCTGGTCCCTTGCATGTGAAGAGCCACTGCCACATGCTCCGACTGCCATGGTCTTGTAGCTTGATTTTTTCGCCTTGCCCACAGTCAGGACAAATCTCTGTCACCCACCAGTCCCACAGC